TACAAAAGGACACTTATTGTTGCTGTCATAGACCTGCTTTGATTATGATGTTTTAAAAAACTTCCCTGCACTGTACACATTCATTCGACACAACAGATTCTCAAAATAACACATGAAAAATTGATTGGGAATGTCTTTCAGAATCAACTTAAGTCACACGTTTGTCATTAATGCTTTCGGCTTTACGTCCTTCAATGTCGCTATGGGTGTGGGGGGTTGTCTTTTAAGTCCTTAAGCTCTCAAGCAGAAAAACCCTCAAAAGTGATTTTAATTATTTGTGTCTAAATACATTAAATCTGTTTGAGGCAGACATAAGTGTTGAAAAAGTGCAACGACTGAGACCAGGGGAATACTGAATTGTCGAGATACAGCTGTATGCCGATGTACAGCTAAACTCTTTTTTTCCCTGTTTCAGTTGTCTGGATTTTGCCCTTTCTGGCATGAGTTGGCCTTCCCCCACGATGTAAGTAGGCTACTAAGCGCTGTCATTCTGTCAGTGTCTACCTGCCACAATTCCAAGTGACTAGGAGTCCTAACTTGGCCCATTTCGACCACTGTAGCTTGAAGACTGGCTCATTATCTCGTGGACTCAAGAACACAATAAACAGCTAACTTTTGCTAAAGTGTCACTGATGTTCTGCGCCTAGGGGCCATCCAAGTTGCCGTAGCCACACTCTGTGTATTGAACGAGGGCCACCACAGCAGTGACATGTCAGGGAAAGTTAGCTGTTTATTATTATTGGGGTAGGAAAAAGTAGTTTATCCAAGTATGCTATCAGTATACTTTTTTTTAATACTAAATTGAAGGATTTAGGGGGTCACAAAGCTGTTAGTCTAATTAGCAACTCCCAAAAACAACTACTTACTCAATGCGTATTCGTTTATCTAAAAGGCATCTGATAGAAATTAAACTAAAGCCAAATTGACTGAATTTACTCATCTGTTTCTATCAATTTCGGAAGTTCAGGAATTTACAATTGGGCCTGGGCTGCTTTTCTCCCGATCACTCAGCCTCGCGAGCGAGCCTAGTCAGAAAAAGAAGCGCAACTAAGAAGCAGCCATCACAATGTATCGAGTTACTCTAACAATGTCTTTGAAAACAGGATGTAGGTAGATCTCTCCATCTCGTCCTCTCTCTCTTCTGGCCCCCTTCCTCGGTCCTGCTGACACCTGGTGGGTCATGTTGCCCAGACTCTAGCCCTCCGCTCGTTCCCCAACCTCGGTTCCTGTAAACATTACCACCCTAATCTTTCCAACTGTGTTCATGCTGAATCTTGTTTAGTTTACTAGGTGTCCATGTGCATTCTTTTTAGCCTTGTTCATGTCCGTGTATGAAACTTGTCCCCTGTGGTGATATCTTAATTTTATTGTTTTGTGTGTGTGTGTGTGTGTGTGTGTGTGTGTGTGTGTGTGTGTGTGTGTGTGTAGACAGGTCACATCGAAGAACACACAGGACACCAAAAGTAAAGCACCCCCATATAGTGTTAGTAATTGTCAGGCTTACTTTCATATGACTTTACTTGCCTTTACTTTTCTCGATTTATGTCTTTTTTACATTTTGTTGTCATCCTCTGAGGTTAAAAAATGATGAATAAAAAGTACGGACATACAGATTAAAAGCAAAAACTTTTCAGATGTACAAATACTCAAGTAAAGTATTTGTATTTGTACTTCATTAGCTCACTTCCCATCACTGCAGTAAAGTGACTCATGTGGATACCTGATTTTATGTCCAAAATTAAATACCAAAAATCAATGTTATTTCCCATGAAATTCTCTCCAGATGTTAGCACGAGAGCTGGCGTTAAGAACACAATCAATGGGGTGTTAAATACCAACAATATATGTTATTTCCCATGAAATTCTCTCCAGGTGTTAGCAAGAGGTCTGGCATACAATCAATGGGGTGTCCCCTCCAGGGGACAGTTTTAGTAAGCGCTACACTAATGATTAATTGACATAAAAAAAATAAAAAAAATCTCACTTTGGGTTAAGGGCATTATCAGCACAGAATGGTACTGTAAAATAAAATGTGTTGTTTTTGGAGAGCAAACAAAAGTCAGATTCAAGCATATGTACCACAAGCAGAACAAAGTGAAGAGAGAGAGACTAAAGTTGCGATTGTACACACCTCAGTTATCAAATTACTGTCCACATTATTAGGTACAGCATAATTTTACACCATAATATTCCATAGATGAGTTGTATCAAATATTCTGCCTCGAGTAATACTTCACACAGCAGCAATAATGTAGTTGGTAGACCATACTAGGAAATGTTTCTATTCATACTGCATTTTGTTTAGGTGTACCTAATGTTAAGGCCATTGGGTTAAGGAGTTCCACTTGATCACATTTTAAGAGTCTGTATGTCGTCCACTTTTTCTGACCTCTAATAACCCATCGGTGTTTCTATTTAAAAAGTGATATTCGGAAAGTTAACAAGAGACTTTACTCGTTCCAACAGCAACTGTATGAAGCCATAAGTTACAAACAATGCTCCCACATCATGTTTTCCTCCTGGTTTGACTTTCCTTATTTTGATCAATGCCGTGTGAGCCCAAAATATGTTTCTTATTGAACAAGCGCTTTGTGGAACAAGAAAAAAAAACATGCATTCGTCAAGACGTTTGAAATCTCATGATCTGTTGTTTGTTTGCACTTGTAGTACGGACATTTATATTAGAGCAAATGTGCATTTCCTCTTCCCTTGACATCAAGTCTTAACACGAAAGTTATGATCACACCAGGCAGGGGCTTTGTCGTCATGAACACAGTATGCTGTTAACTCATTTACAAGTTGGTGTTTTTTTTTTTTAAATACCAGAGGCACCAACATGATTTCCTGGATGAGCTCAATGCGTGCACATGTTAGTGTACACACACAGAACAGTGTTTCTTTGCAGTTAGTGGGTGTGAGAACACGAATGTTACCACACCGCTGTGATTAGTGGAGAACAAATTTATTCTTGACGATTCCTGAACGAGGCCTGTTATTTCAGCCGCAATTGAGTGGGTGCACACACACCCATCATGAACATCGTAACAGACTTTTTTTTAAATGTGCCAAGATGGCCAAACTATTTATCCATGTCTGCTGTAGTACTGAGACTGATCCGTGAGAGGCAGGGTAGTGCCACAGGACATAAACGATGTCGGAAATACACAGAAATAGAAAGAGTAATGGAGGAAATTGAAACTGTTAGCTTATCTGGAAACCATATTGTGGTTGTCAACTCAAAATCAGAATTGCTTTCTCATTGTACCGCAGGGTGCAACATCATGGAAGAGACACAAACCGTTCAAAACACATTGAAAAACAACGATCAACCGGGGGATACAGAACGGGTGTCTGCTGGGTCGCCTTCTACAGTGCCCAGTTTTTGCAGATGAGAAGAAACATAAGGGAGGGGGCGGGGAAAAACACGAACCCCTACTGGGGTATTACCTGATGGTACCCCGCTTTAAGTAGTCGATGATCTATTGAATCCAATGACACTAAATGCTAAGTGGCAAGTTTAAGACAGCTTTATTTACATTTTTTCCTTTTTTACAGAGCGTCACCAAGCAATCAAATAACAAACTAAGATACAAACAATTCTGCTTTGAATTATGTTTTTTTTTTTGTTTTTTTTTCTGGGTGATCAAATAATCACACATTACAAATATTGAAACTGAGACGAACGCAATCTCTACTGAGGCACGCCTTGGAATTGGATACAGTGTTTTCACTAGTACCAGTTATTTTCCAACATTACACTTGTCAACTGTGCTGGAGGCTGACACTGTCTTATTTCATTCAACGTTTGCAAATAAACATTTACTGATTGGAATTTTTAAAGTGAAGTTTAACAATCAATTCTATTTAAAAAACTGAGCACACTTCTACTTTGCGGTATTTTTGTGCAGTCAAAGTGATCCCAGTCAATTAAAGACCCTGTAAAATGAATCCGGTGATCTGTTTCTAATCATGTGATACATGTTTGAAGATAATTGCTGTAAACCTGGGCAAAGATTGAGAATTATGTAGCAGGGAATTGTGCAACAATAGTTGACCTGTTTTTCACCATTATCCGGCCAAGTACGATTCGTATGATTAGGTGAGTAGCATTGCAGACACCTGGAAAAAGCATCTTCTTCTCAGATAGCCAGCTGGCGTGGCCACTTTACACAAGTTGGAAATACTTTTGAAAAAGTCAAACTTGACAGACAGTGTGTGAACGTGAGATTTGACTGGCGGGGCATCGACTGGGTGCCCCGTTGTCAGCGGGGCAATCATGTGCACGCACATGATTGTGAGAAGGCGGAAGATTGATGTGGTAAAAAATGTGTTTTTATATATTTGAAGACGTTTTCAATCATTAAAATTTGGCAGGGTTGTTAATAACACGCTTCTCTGTGGAGTATCAAATTTAGATGCGTTTATTTTTGCTTTCTCGGGACTATAAATTCACAAAACAGTAAAAGTTAAGGAAACTGATTCTTAGTACGGTGACCCTTCCAAAGGTGGGAGTTTCAACCTGCATCATCATGCAGGATGCGCACATCATCGACGAGGTTGCAGCTCAATGAGCATCTGACAGATTAACTCCGCAAGTATTTATTTGATTATTTTGTGTTTTTTGCAAAAGATGGCGACCAATCATGGTAAAAACGTAAAATAGCTACATTGACATTGGAAAGGATCTGCGTGCTCACTACTACAATATGAGCAATGCGATTCATGAAATGTCAATCACATCCATCCATCTATTTTCTTATCCGCTTATCCTCACGAGGGTCGCGGGCATGCTGAAGCCCATCCCAGCTGTCTTCGGGGGGTAGGCGGGGGACACCCTGATCCCGTTGCCAGCCAATCGCAAGGCACACATAGAGGAACAACCAACCACACTCACAATGACACCTAGGGACAATTTATAGTGTTCCATTCACCTGCCATGCATGTTTTTGGAATGTGGGAGGAAACCGGAGTACCCGGAGAAAACCCACGCAGGCACAGGGAGAACATGCAAACTCCACACAGGAATGCTGGAGCCGGAATCAAACCCTGCACCTCTGTACTGTGAGGCGGAATGCTAACCAGACAACCACCATCAGCACATGGAGGGATTGGTACGCTGCTATATTTTTGTCTTATGCAGTCATCTTGCGCTCTCTTGGTATTTTACATTTTTTGGTTTTATTTTAGAGTGAGTTTATATTCCTTTAAAAAGTGCTGTAAATGTTTCCTAAGGAGTGTTTCAGCATGGTATTTCTTTGCTATGGATTTCACTTATTGTGGGCGTGGCCTGCAACATAACCCCTGTGATGGAAGGGGGTATACTTTACAATTACTTTTGATTGTGCAACGCTTCCAGCAACACCTGCCACAACGTGACAGCATTGTGCACGATGACTTTCTTTAGTTTTGATTTACTTTCAAGTTTGCTAGTTTTATTATAGAGTGGTTAAGGTGTCACACTTGTCAGGAATCCGTTCTAAAAAGTATGTTTTTTCCGAGCTGAGGAAATTAATTCCAATGGAGAAATTACTTTGAAAGTACAACAGCATTGAGGACAGATTGTGTCCAACTTGAGAGGTCCCACGGAATTGTGTTGCTTCAAAAGCTGGACTTTTTGCCATTTTCTGCATCCTTTATGCAATACTGTAAATGTTTCACAAAATCAACTTTGTGGACCATGAATGTCTGATTTGGAATGAGTCAAACCTGCACCATGAATACATTTTTTTTTCATCAGCGTTCCGCCCCCTGAAAGCCGTGTCTCATATCTTGAGATCATCTATTCGAGTCTTGTTGTTGCTGTACTTGGCACTGCGGCCTTGCCTGCTCTGCGTGGGTGACCCGGGGGCAGATCCTCGCTTCTTTCCTTTCAGGTCACATTCCTCCAGCTTGCTGCCACTCCTTTCCACCGCCAAGTTGTCCTTGTTCTGTTTGTAGGCCGCTTTGCTATTACAGGGCTGAAAGGATGATTCGGCGCCCTCGGACAGAGGGGAGAGGTTGTAGCTGGGAGGGCGATGCTCGTGGAAATAGTCATCATACGTCGGGCCGAACGGCGCTTCGGTGTCGCTGTGCCCCTTGGACATGGTCTCGGGTGACCGATTGCTTCTCCTAAAGGTGATGCCCTGGCGGCACTTGGTGAAGCCCAGGTGGTAGATCTCAATGAGGTTGAGGAAGAGGGAAACGCTGGCCACGCCCAGCATGAAGATGATGAAAATGGTTTTCTCTGTGGGTCGGGAGATGTAGCAGTTGACCGCGTTGGGACATGGCGGCCTGTCGCATGTGTACATGGGCTTCAGCTCAAAGCCGTACAACAGGTATTGGGCCACAATGAAGCCCACCTCAAAGAGGGTCTTAAAAATGACATTAAAAACATATGTGCGCAAGAGTTCCCCCTGCAGGCGCACATGTCCTTTTTCGTCTCTCATCAAGGCCTTTTTGTGCTTGTGGGCATCCACGACGAGGGCCGGCTTGTTCGGAGGATGAGTCTTCTCTTTCTCCTTCTGCTTCTCCTCCATGCGCACCAGATGCAGGATGTGGCCCAGGTAGATCAGCGTAGGTGTGGACACAAAGATGATCTGCAGCACCCAGAAGCGAACGTGGGAGATGGGGAAAGTGATGTCGTAGCACACGTTCTCGCAACCGGGCTGCTTGGTGTCACAGGTGAAGCCCGACTGCTCGTCGCCCCACACCTTCTCTGTGGCGGCGCTCAGGATCAGGATGCGGAAGATGAACAGGACCGTGAGCCACACCTTGCCCACCACGGTGGAGTGCTCCTGGGCGTTTTCCAGGAGCTTTCCCAGCAGGTTCCAGTCCCCCATCGTCTAAGTGAGCTCACAGTTGGGACTGGAGGGATTGGGAAAAGGCAAAACATACATTTTTACTTGGAATGGTCCATGCCATTTTTTCCCCCAGACTGTATAAGAGTTGGTCATATTATGATGATGATGATTAAAATACAATTTATTTTTAGTTATGCATCATTATAATTAAATGCAGCAATATTACCACACCCCCATTTTTTAATCACAGTAATAATTTTCCATCAACACTACAGTTACTACATTGGAAAAAAGGTTTTTGTTGAATTTCTTCACTTTTAATTTATCGAATGGTTGCACAAAAATAAGATCATGTGAATCCAGATCAATTTTTTAGTAGACTATGCATCTACATAAAAATAGATTTGGATCCAGATTCTTTTATTTTGGGCGGCCCACTGGTCCAGTGGTTAGTGCATCAACCTCACGGTGCGTAGGTACCGGGTTCAATTCCAACTCCGCATGTTCTCCCCGGGCCTGCGTGGGTTTTCTCCGGGTACTCCGGTTTCCTCCCACATTCCAAAAACATGCATGGCAGGCTGATTGAACACTTTAAATTGTCCCACGGTGTGAGTGTGAGCGTGAATGGTTGTTCGTTTCTGTGTGCCCTGCGATTTGCTGGCAACCGGTTCAGGGTGTCCCCCGCCGACTGCTCGAAGACGGCTGGGATAGGCTCCAGCAACCCCCGCGACCCTTGTGAGGGTAAGCAGATCGGAAAATGGAAGGATGGATGGATGGATGATTTTATTTCATGTAACCACTTCAATTAAATTCAAAACATATATATTTATTTTCAGTTGACTACTACTACCTGCATTACGGCTACTCCTCGACCTACTGCTAAGCACAATAAGAAGATTTATAATTATTTACAATTATTATACAGTAGTTCACATAAATAAACACTGTACTCCATTCCATACTCGTCTTGTTCTAGTTTGAAATTTCTAACAATACAACTTCCAATACTATTCCTACCACCATCAACATACAAAACCCCAATACTGTTTTGATGAACAATACTTATATAAGTACGATTACTGCTGCTGCTGTTATGACAACTATGGGTACTTCAGCAAAAAAGCAAGGCACTCAAATCAAATATTCTTGAATACTTGTTTGAGTTACTGTATTAGACTTAAATACATCATTGTAATCAACCCATTTGAGTTGAACTAACTCATCAGCTTTCAGTGTATTGAAACAGCGCTTTAAGGCATAGCTGAATGAATGAATGTGGTCTGCAATCACTTGCACAAAGCCCTGACCTCAACCCTGCTCCTCTGGATGGAGGGAAAAAAAATAAGAAAAGAAAATCCCACAGACACTCTCCAACATCTTGTAGAAATTGTTCCCAGAAGGCTGCGAGAGAGGGATCAACTTATATTTTTCTTCCATTTCAAGGTCCTGTTGTTTTTCATGGCAAGGTGTCCAAATCCTTTCGTCCACGTAGTGTATATTGCATGACTAAAATAACACAACCTAACAGCAAGTATCCTCCTTCCCCTCCTCTTCTAAAATGCCTTCCCAAGTTCAGCAGTGCGAACAGCGAATGAGTCTCAAGAGTCAGGTTGTTCAAACAAGTGGACAAGTTGGCAACTACCGGTCTATCCCACGTTGACCACAACAGGATTATATTTACTTTAAGAGGGTATATATTTGGCATGTGTGGACAGGGAAAGGCAGCTTCCAGGCATGATCCTGCAAGTCGTGGCCCTCGTGGCACGGCACGGCAACGTGATCGCTGCTCTGAGTGAAAGGGAACACCAGCGAGACAAGGGTGAAGTTCATAATGGTACCACCGAAATAACGTTAGTAAGGTATTGGGGTGAGAACGGGTGCTTCATTCAGGGTAGTGTTGAAAATCCTTTCATATCTAGACTTTGAGGTCCTATTTAGCAATTCACCCACCTTGTCACCTTCTACATCCCTTGTATAGAACTCCTGTGGGGTGTCCATGAGGGTGACCGGTCCCAGAACAAGTGTGATCTTCGGGGCCTCTTGGCAGTGCCCTTGAATGGGTAGGAAAAGTGGACTCCTACCAGCCACAGCGTCAGTTCCACACAAACCGGCTCAGGCGGGCAGGTTCCAGGACGCCCCCAACCGAGTTTCTTCCACTGACCACAACACACTAATGGACAAACTCTCAACCATGTCCGGTCTGCCCCTCCCCCTGCGGTTAAATTCGGCTCCGTGTACTCGAATGTAAACTATTACAGCCTGTCCACTTGGTTGTTTGAGTGACTGACAGGGCAGCTGGCCAATGGTGGGCTTGACTGCCTTTTGTTCCGGCCACAAGTGGTCCTGGTGGCTAAATATAGTGCAGGGGTCTCTCCTATCATGTGGGGGCATGATTTGGAGATGAGTCGGCCTTTGCATCCTCACAGTGGGAATGAAAGGAACAAGACCTGAAACAAACCTAGTCCATGGTTAGTAATTCTGAGATTTCAATACAGTGGTGCCTTGAGATAAGAGTTTCAGATGTTCAGTGGCCACGGTTGTAACACAAAATACTTCTTTTGGAAATGAATGGAAATGCCTTTTATCTATTCCAGACCCCACCACCACTACCCAAAAAATACCCTCAAAACAATTTGTAATGCGCATTTTATTGAGCGAAAATAAAAATAGCACTCCATCACATTGTACAAATACAAAAAGTAATGAGATAATGAGATTGAATGCTGCTCCTACTGTTTTGGACACATGGGGGCAGTATTAGACAGACAGTCCTGCCTTGATGGAGCAGCCAATCATATCACAGCTGGACTTGTCTTGCTCAGAGCTCAAGTGGGATTCAGAATTACCCCTCAAATCCTCTCTCAGCTTATCAGTGCGGCACTATTACTTGTTCTACTCAAGGGATGAAGGATATATAAATGTGAGACTCACATTGTTAGTACTGTTATATCATCGTGGACATGTTGCTGCACCGTTTGTTTTCACTCAGTTGCTGAAAGGGTTAAAACATCGCAGCATACTGTAGATGCTAATTCGTGTAAGCATTAAGCTAGTGGACTGAAAGGCTGAGAAATGATGAATGCACATTTCTTTTGTTTAATGTTTCGTTTGACAGCAAATAGCTTGAAGCCTCTTTTTTTTAATTGTCGATTATTTATCAAACTGCTGCTATTGTGACGTAAATTGAGTTGAATTCATTCAAGTCAAAAATTGACAAATGACAGCTCTAATCTGCAAACATTCTTCACTTGTAAGAAACAGCCTTTTATTTTTGTTTAATCACCTATATTGCAGGGGTGCAGCCGATACAATTACGTTCTATTTTAAATATGCAAGCAAATAATTCATTAATGTTGACATTTAAGCTGAAGCATGTACTGTAGTGAAACCATGACATTAAATACCCCCCAAAACGGTGCAATTTAGAGAGTTCAAACTCAATTTTGTGTCCTCAAAAGTCAAACAAACACCATCAAATCAATGTGTAAAGTTACGCAAGATGTTGGTCCGTGCTTAAATAGAAGCTCAATATTTTCTATTTTACTGAATGGACAATGTGCCGTTATTTTTTCTACACTCTTTACTCTCAATTTGTTGCATCAACTAACAAAGTTCACTTATCACAGAGTGCTTACTGAACTAAGCAGCTGATCACAAGAAGCGGTTTCACCAGCAGTTGTAATGCAGACGCTCATGAAAAATAGCATTGGAAAAGTGCCGTATGATGTTTTCTGGCACCACTTAAACTATTACAATCACAAGCACATGCGTGCAATGTTTGCGGCAGCATAATTACATAATTGCAGAAAGACAAGTGCTGTTCTGTATTTTGTATGAAGTAATTACACTACTCTGCTGTTGTTCTCAAACTTTTTACATAAGGTACCATCTAAAAAAATACTTGACCCTCCAAATACCCCCATAAGGTCTAACATCAAAATACAGTAGCATACTAGGCCCATCACTGCTGAGGTCTTATTTGTGAAATGTATGTTTTTCTATCATTGTAAGCCACTGGAACTGTATGCACCATTTGAAAATTAACTCTGTGCTTAAATATAGGAACATAAAAAAGTGTACTTAGGTGATTCACTTAAAATGTATTATACATCAAGGATCAGTTAAAAAAACAACCCCCCCCCGCACCCCCAAAAAACACCCTAAATAAATCATTGAAAACAAATACTGTAGTTCTAAAATATAAGTAACAATAAATACAACTGAACTCGACTTAAACATTCCACCGTACTGGATGGAAAAAAAAAAAAAATTCCAAGCCAATTCCGTGATTCATTCGTGTGCCACTAGAGGGAGGCCGCCTATCATTAGTGGTACTAGTATCACACTTTGGGAATCACCGATTTAAGGCCACCGTGATACACAGGAAACTGTTTCAGCATGATGCTATCGCACTTTGGGTCAGATCTGATTTGTGCACCCTCAACATACACACTCATCAATTCATGCAAAGGGAAGAGCAAAAACCCAATCCAAGAATATTCAATACTAGTTAGTGTCTTTTCAAATGTTTGCGATCAGTACTATGCAGTGAAATTCTACGCCACTGCAATCTTCATAATGACCCAACATCAATACCTCTGTGAGTGAAAGTTCAGCACCTTTCTCTTCTTAAAGGCACGGTTCCTTATGCAGCTTTTACTCACATGTTTGACACGTACACATTTCCAAATGTCATTTTGTTTTAAGGCTGAAGCAAACTGCCTACTCAGGCTTCTATTTTCAGAGGAAAAAAAAAAAAAAAAATGAACCAAAAACTTGCAGGTGGCTGTATGGAACAGTGCGTATCAAGTCTTCACACCCTGTTCAAATGCAAGGTTTTAGTGATAAAAATTCAACTCCTGAATTCTTTTCAATGATTTTGAGAGAATAACAAATACATTTAAATAATCTGGCTGCATAAGTGTGCGAGCCCTCCTATAACTGGGTGTGACTGTGTTCAGGATGAACCCATCACACTCAAACTCATGTCAAATGTGAGTCAGTACACTGAAACCATTTAAAATGTCTGATTAAACCTGAATAAAGTTCAGGTGTTATTGTAGGCTTTTGCTGATGTTTTTTTCTTTTCGTTTTCTAGCAAACAAAGACCTTTTTTGAACACTTCATAATTCCTTTCACTTTGAGAACGTTCTCAGTTCCAGCGGAAGAAAAACAGCACCAAAGAGTGATCCTGCCATCACAATGTTTCACAGTTTGTTGTTTTTTCTGGACCTGCGCAATTTTGTTTTTTTTGTGGCAAACATACTCTATGGAATTAAGACCAAAAAAAATAAAAAAAATCAACCATCAACCGTTGTACCAAACCATAACATCTTTTCCCACGTTTGGGAGATCCTGTTGTATCTCTGTTGTATTTTAATATTTGAAAGAGACATTTAAAATGGTTGGTTAAAGGCCACATCAATACTGGAAAGTGTTTAATCTTGGTCAATTTTTTTATGGCACAAAAACCGGGCATTTGAACCAGGGGTGTGTAGACTTTCTATAAACACTACCGGTATCTATTGAAGAAAATGGATAACAGCAATTCAAATTGTGAATGAGATGGTTTTAATTCAAACATGGACTAGGGCTGATAGGGTCCATGAACCTGGACCTTTCTGCAAGATAAGACATAAATACTACTTAGTAAAAACTGAAAAAGAAAAAAAAATCTTATAATAAATACGTTCACTATTTAACACTGCCAATAAATAATACAGTCGAATGGATAATGAGCAACCTGCTTTGTGGTTATTTAGTAGTTTAAAATGATAATCAAGGGCTGTGTGTGAGAAAGGAAAACACCTCTCGCCCTTCAGTTATCTCTGTAAAAAATGATCAGCTATCAACTGATTGTCCTCAGTTTATAGGAAGACAATTTTTGACTCATCCAGTCCACTTTGGACTCTTCCTCAGAGCGGCGGAAGAATCGTTTGCAGGCCCTGCCTATGAGGTAAACCACCTCGGCCAGGTTGAGCAGTACACACACTCCAGACACGGCCAGCATGAAGATAGTGAAGATGGTCTTCTCTGTAGGCCTGGAAACAAAACAGTCCACTGTGTTGGGGCACGGGTACGAATCGCACTTCACCAAGCGCACCATCCTGAAGCCAGGGTAGATCATGTAGAAAATGTAGAGAAAAGCAACCTCAAAGAGAATTCGGAAGACAATGCTGGTCATGTAGGTCCACCAAAGAGCTCCAGTGACGAGAAACTTCTGGTTCTTGATGTGCTCCAGCTCCTTGGGACTGTTACGGCCCGCCCGCTTTAGGATCTTCTTTTCAATGTGGCGGCGATGGGCCACATGCATGGCCACAAGGAGTGCCGGGGTGGAGACCAGGATGATCTGGAGCGCCCATAGGCGGATGTGCGAGATGGGAAAGAACTGATCGTAGCAGACGCTGTTGCAGCCGGGCTGTTGGGTGTTGCAGATGAAGCCGGATTTCTCATCTCCCCAGACGGTCTCTGCCGCAACCACCAGGACCAGGATACGGAAGATGAAGATGACGGAGAGCCAAATGCGACCAATGCCCGTTGAGTGCCTGTTTACGCCGCTGACCACGGCGTAAAAGGACCCCCAGTTCATCTTCGACTCCAGAGCTGTAAACAAACAACAACAAAAAAAACAGTCAATATTGACATTTATGAGTACGGTAACATTTTGTGAAAAATCCTGCAACAACCTATGACTGTCTTCAAAAGGTATAGCATTAGATCTTTACCAGACTTAGCCGGCTGTACACGTGGCGTAAGCAACGCCCGGCCCAAAGGTGACCATCCTAACCGATGGCTATGTCTGTGTGAGGTTCCGGGACAACATCAGGAAATGCAAAGTTGTGCGTGGGTCTATAAAAGCAGGGGCGATGGCCTAGCATCGTCACGAAACACAAAAAGTCTAAGCCAATTGTGAAACATCCGCTGAGCCACGTGATGCGCTCACCCTGTATTAATACCGAACTCCCAAACAGACCTACAGCCCAGTTCCCGATAAGACAGTCAACAAATTCCTCCGAGGAAGCCGATGAGTGAACAAGTTCTATTGTTTTTGCGAAAGGCTTTGAACCACCGACTTCGCTTTTGAAAAGATGATACTCTGATAAAGTTGCAATCGAGTTTAAGTGAGATGGTCACCTGGGGGATGTTGGCTTTTAGCCACACCAGTTCTGACCTCTCAGAGTAACACAAGCAAATGATAAAAATATGGATTTTACCTTCAGCTGTGATGGTACACACAAAGTGTACAAATCAGGAAGAAGTGAATTAAAATGTTTTTCTTTTGAAGCAAAGCAAAATGCTGTGTTGGGAACACCATGCGTTGGGAAAATGCTAATCGTTCCTCCACCACAAGCCAGTGCCCTGCACCGTCGTGGTCATATGGTCATGTCGAAAGCATTAGCATACAATGGCATTCTTTATTGCGCTGTAACAAGACTCTTTCACATCAAACGCCTCGATTTCCGCCTACCCCCAGGATTCAGAAGGAATCTGTGTGGACACAACCATGCCTCATTATTTATTGTGCTAGGGAGGGCAGAAAGCTGAAGGCGGCCTTTGACCTGGGCTGCTGTCATTGACAGGTTGCACGTGTCAACGATGCATGACCTCTTCAACTCTGGATGACACTTACGGAAATCCTGATGAGAGTGTCATAAACTTTTAAAACAGTCAGTAGCCACTGTAAAATCTCACCTTATTGGGTAAAATTTGTGTACCTGGACTTCAGCCACGCCAGACTACAAAGGAGTTTTGGGGTCACGCGGAAAATAAATTCTATTTAATATTAGAATTAATTTATGAGAATAAAGCTGCAGCAATGCAACTTGCAAAAATATCTCATGAGACATAATTATGAAAGAAAAAAAAAAGTCCGATGACCAAAATAGTTGTATTGTACAGTTAGTTATGTCCTCATTTTGGCAAGAAATTTTAATATACCGGTAATTGGAATATTGTGATGGTCTGAAATTTAATCTACCATAAATGTTTTTAATGATACTGTATTACACATTTGAGTGAGAATTTTCTCACTCACTAAAAATAATGACTTTATTCTCATAACATTTTTTTTTAATGGCTTTTCTTCATAATGTGACCCCAATACATTTTCACAATACAACACCACAGTTCTTATACTACAATATCATATATGCTTAGTGGAGCAAAGTTAAAGCAATCATAAAAATTATGATTGCCCACATGGACTAGTATCAAACATCATCGAAAATTTACGAGAAATTCGTACCTTCTCTGACAACAGCAGAACATCTGAACAAACAAAGCCTTTTAAAAATGTGGATTGTTCAGAGTACAATGAGCTAGGGCTTCACTCATTACAACATTATAAACTAGTGGGAGGGTTGTGGTAGCCGCTGTCGTTTTGAATTTAGTGTTTTATACTCTCCACAGACTTTTTTTTTTTTTAAACAACCAGTAGTACAGACTGAATTTTGACTGTGAAAATACAATATACTATTTTGGGGGTACTCAATACTAACCTGTCAGGGAATTCACCCGAACATCTTGAACTTTGAATGAAAAGACTCGACTCAACTCAGGAACAGATTGTCTTTTGCTGATCAACAAATGGGGCGAAGTTCCTCGAAGGCAACACAAGTCGTGTTTCCTCTAAGATCGAAACCCCACATTCGCACCTCCGCTGACCACTTTTAATTCACAGGATATGCAAAATACAGGTAGCATATCAGAAAAAGATTCCTCCTCATTTGCATGTCACGCTTCCAAAACATCTTCTAGTGCAAACAATAGATACCTTGTTAATACGCATGAATTGAGACACTGTAACAAACTGGAGGACGTCTGGTCATGCTGCCCTCTCGAAGTTGAACCCTCCTGCCTGTCTTATCAGTTAATGAGGCCCTGGCTTCCTTCAGCTCAAGTTGGCCCTTTTTTCTGTGTGCTCCATTGTGTACAAATTGTGAGAATATAGTGTTTGAGGTCAATTAAGCAGATACTGAAATGAAACTTTGAAAGATGATAATATTAAGTTTGTTTTTCTCCATCATAACCAAAGGAAGACAATTTATGCAACCAAGAAGTTCATCTTTTGAATATGACACTGACTAACTGCCGGAAGAATGATTTCCCGAGTTGATGGAAAACACAATGTACTTTATTTTGATGGGGTTTGAAATTCAGTTTTCAACTTCAACTTGAAATAACTATTCTTTTTTTTTTTTTTTTTTTTAATTCTTTTTTTATTCTTGGCTGGGCCTCAGTTAACATGAGAATGCAATAAAAGGGTTACATTGCAAATAAAAGAGCAGAACATTATCACCTATTTTAAGACATTACTGAATACAAAACTGGAGACGTTCCCTCTTTTACTGTCAGCTAGTTTTTCTGCTGAGTGTAGTATGAGATGAGGTACTTCTCCCAGTCTGAATCCTGTTTTCTCCATTGGACTTGAGCACGGTCTGAAAAGTAAATGAGAAAGTTAGGAGTGACCATCTGACAGAATAGTGGTAGTGGTTGTACAGACTGGCCGACTGTACGGCTCCACAATCACGTTTAGAACGAGACGTCGACTGGTCGCTAATCGCGTGTTATTGGCTTGAGGACGAGGTAGAGCCGTTGACAGCAGCAACGGGCCAACATTCACCCAAGCCACCATGTTGATTCTCTTGTCCTCTAACGTGCAAGTTATGTATAAATTTGATGTATCAGCTGTTCACAGTTGGGAAATATAGGCTATTGGAAAACATTACCTCCTCCATTGATTTTTAACATTTTTTATATTTATTTAAATTGGAGTACAGTGATCCCTCGCTTATCGTGGTTAATGGGGATCAGAACCCCCCTGTGAAAGAGGAAAATCTGCGAATTAGGTATCCCCTGTAGAGGTATATGTACATGTGTATGAGTATATATAATATTTCTAAGGCAAAATTTAATGGTGACAAAATACAGTAAACATACAGGTATGTGTCTATGTGACTCGCTGTTTTGCTGACTTTTGCTGCCTCTCGCGAACCTTTTGCGGCATTTTCGCAATTTTATTCATTTTTTTGATGACTACTTTTGAAAAATCCGCAATGAACTGAAATCGCGATAAGTGAACCGCGAAGTAGCGAGGGATCACTGTACTGCACTGAAAAAATATCAAAGTCGTCACCAGCTATTAGTCGACGTCGGCCCGACTGATCGCAGTTGCATGCATATGGCCCATAGAAGTAGAATCGCATTCTGAGTTGAATTCCTTACTGTCTTTTGGTAAACTCATATTCTTCAGTTTGCTGCTGTGTTTTGCATGTCCGTTCTGGGCTAGTCGCAAAGACAACGGCGGCCCCCTCCTGCAATACACAAATGACTCAGACCCGCTCCATACTTGAGTCCAGTATCTGTATACCATTTACATAATCATTGATACACTAGACCTTAACCTTGTTAGAAGTACCAAACCCAACCAGTTCATATGCACGTTCACCAAACACTTCATGAGTGAAAAATAAAACTTTGCTTTTTAAAAATTCAAGAAATTAAAAAAAAAAAAAAAAAACATTTATTAAAAAGAGAAAAAAGTAAAGAAAATTACATGACCTAAGTATAGTTTTTTTTTTAAATTGTATGACGTACTACCACGACAGTCACACGGTGACTACTGAGCGAACTAAATTTCGCGCAGCACTGATTGGACAAGCAATATCATGTGATCATCTGCAGCCAGTGATGGCCAAGCGGGTGTGTCATAACTAATTGACATGTTGAGTCGGGTGTGTCTTAACCTCCATGGCAGAGGCTCCGTCGAACCCCTGAGACCGATTCACCGAACCCCTGGGGTTCGATCGAACCCAGGTTAAAAACCACTGCACTAGATACATACATACTGTACAGTACTGTAAAAAAGCAGGCAAACCCGAGCTCATTATTTTATGAGCCTTTTTCACAGCAGCCATTTCAACATCGTGCATTAAGTAGATCTGTAAATAGTGGCTTACTCTCTATTATGTATTCAATCATCAGTAGCACATCTTGCTCCATACTTACATAAGCATATGGACGTAGAAAGTCCTACTTCAAAATAAATTCCAACATCTCTCTGTAATTCAGTGAATAAACACCTCGTGGGTTATATTACGAGATATGCAGTACTGCCATAACAAAGACTTTGCTGAGTACAATAGACACATCATCAGGAAAAGCTTTATGAGGTTTTCCATTCATTTTAGAAATCTGATAATCATATGCTTTTAATTGATTAGCTGGCCTCTTTTCACAGGCAAGTACCTCATAGCTCCAAGCTTCCCCTTTTCCAAGAAAAGCTCAACTGACACGCCGGGCCCGTCTGTGTAAATTCTGGCATAGAACGTCCGGTTGTGCACCATCTCTCTAAACCAATCAACTGCTTCCTCAGTCCAGTCTGTCCCATTTTTAGGAATCACCTGAGGGGAGGAAATGGGGAGGAGGGGATAAAAATAAAAAAACACAGAGAAAATGCAAATAACAATCAACAAGTTTTTTTATCGTACGGTCAACAGACCAGTGGGGATCTCTTGCGAAACCCCAAGTGGTCTGTTCCTAACTTATTGACCTGTTTCTCTTCTGCCAAAAATGATGACTCTCGCGCGTAAATACAACTGACGCTGCCTCCTCAGAAGTCTCCCGGATAAGGCGGCAACTCCTGTTTTTCTTGGCTTTGTACAAGTTAAAAAAAGGCACAGACCCAACAATCTGGCGCATGCAGAAGACTTGGTCATAATCACTAGTCGATGTTGAAGCTGTCATTTTGTGAGCTGTTCTGCCTGCTGGACCTCCGCCCCCAGCATGTGGGACAGAAAGCAGAGCAGATTGAGCATCAACCTATTTACTTTCATCTGAAACGCTGTAAGTTGCATAAAGTGATTGCAGCCTTATTTTAAGCCTCAGCGCTGTTGATCGAAGCACATGCAGAAATAACGTTGATCGTATCAGCTCACATGTGGCCTCAAAACAGTCTCTGCGCTTTTGATGATCTTCCATGCATGTGGAACATCAAAAAGGAGAAACTGCTGTTGAAATAATTAAAAAGGAGCTACTCACATTTGCCATGGAGACTTGCATTGACTGGAGAGGTAATTTGCACATTCCTGCGCTCAGCTCCTTGAGGTTACACAGTGAGACACAGGCGGTGTCGCCATGATCCAGCCTTCTCACCTCCACCTTGATGGAAGCCTCATCCTCGGCTCCATCAGTGGCTTCATCTGGTAACAAACAGACAACAGACAAGCCAAATGCAGGGATTGTCAACTTTGACCAGGGCCAGACTGTAACTTCAACGCCCTAATGAAATCTACTAGCCTATATGCAAAATATTGTTCTTTCACTTTATGATTTTAGTAGGCTATTTTTTGTTTCTTTACTTTGCATTTTGAGGTAAATGTCTTAATTGGTCTTGTTTGTAAATGGTTTTAAATGTTGTACTGTTAATTATGTGAAGCACATTGAGTTACCTTGTCTATGAAATAGACTACATCAGTAAAGCTGCCCTGCCATGAGCGACAATGGTTGTTGCCCTTGCCTTACCTAGTCGCTACCTCTACAAACCTTCAAAACAAATACACAGACTCACCTTTGTTTACACCACATATCTTTGTCACCTGAGCCCTGCACCATTGTTCTTCCTTCGGGAACCGGGCGATTACATGGGCTCCAATGTCTGGAATGCAGTTCTGCTCAGCATATGAACTACTGGATTCCCAGCTGCTTCAACATGAGGACCGAAAAAAACATAATTGTAATCAGAAACACGTGGAATATTCAACAAAACAAAACAAAAAAAAAGTGGTGGGGGGGGGGGGTTCTACAAAGAACAGCAATGAACAATAAGGGTAAGTGCCCTGTTAAGTTCTGAAAATGTGATCACAGAATCAGCGAGGGCTGTAAAAAGCTGAGAAAAAGCAGATGGGGATGAAATAACTTACCCATTAAAAAGCGCCTGCAGCTTGGTGATGGAGTCAACGTGCTGGATGTAGAAGTTGCTCGGACTTACAACATGAGACACAACAACCTCAGGTTCCTCAAACTTTCGCACCTGGAACTCTGGAATGTTTGCCGACTCAGTTTGGGGCTTTTTTGGAGAATAATAGTCACAATGTTCATATGGGAGTGTTAGGTTTTTAATTGTGCACGCCTTGTCTCCCTCAAATATTTCACTTGGGCAGGCTTTATTGTCTGAGCACCAGTTCATGGATTTTCTCTGGGCCTCGCCTGCTGTGACAATTGTTTCAACATCTTGGAAATCCCACAATTCAGTGTTGGTCGCGATCACACAAGCATATGTAAGCAAGCCATTTGAATTCACCCTTTTGAGCCTGAAAACAGGCTTGTGGTTTACCGTATCTGTCAGCAGTGTCTTTGGCGCTTTTGCATCATTCTGCTCATGTGACACATGTCTGATAGAAGAACCTTCACTTTGTGTTGCCACAGATGGCTGTGTGATGACAAAGGCCTCGAGTGACTCCACACTTTTGGCTTGTGCTTTTAGGAAGTGCAGCAGTTGGGTGGTAGTTTGTTTTTTGCATTGCATATGGACATCTTGAAGTCCCCAAATAAACTTTGCAGTTGGCTCGGTGTTGACCTTTGGGCTCTTAATGAGGGCAGAAGGAATAATTGTAGCCTCCGCTTGGCATTTCTCCTCAAGCTGTGTTTTTATTTCTTGTCCTTTAGCGTCCTGGCTCAATGATGTGTAGACAGTGTCAATTGAGCATTTTTCAACAGGCATTGTATCCACCTTTACTGCTCTGAGCTGAGGGGTGGGGAATCTTGTCAGCCATTGAAAACCCTGTCTAGCTCTCAGCATCTGGACTGTTTCGATTATGGAAGTGGCCATAATGGAGTTCTGCAACATTGGTCCAAACCAGAGTGCATTATCACACAGGATCCCTCTCACTCCCGATGGTTGGCATAGGCTTGTTGTTACCCCATTTTTGCGTAAAGGCTGCAGACAAATTCTTGACTCTATCAGAAAATAGGGAAAGACAGTAATCAGATGAAGCCATCTGAGCAGGGAATACTGCCTTTACAAATGTGGGCTACTTCTGAAGGTTTTCCTCACTGACTTACCAAATGTTAAGTCTTTCAGTAGAACTGAGACTCTGTCTATTAATTGACATTTCTCATTTAAAGCCTTGCAGATGTCATTGTAGACACTTGTTGAAAAAGACGACATCAGGAAAACTTTGACATCTTCATATACCTTCAGAGAAGAGAGATCTTAATTAATGCACTGAACCATGTATGATCAAAAATGAAATATATTAAGAGCACATATTTTTTCCGTATTTCAAATAGTACTGTATCTAGTTCGGAAGTGTATGGTCCTATGTGGGGGAGGAGGGCACTGATTGAAAACTGATGTACATTATTATTTTTATTATTATTAACACGTAGCAGCATTTGCACGTGATTGCACTAACTTGTGTTGGTAATAATTTGTTGATATTGTTACATTTACAAAATACACGACATTACGGTCATTATTGACCGTAGTGGTTTCGACTGGGAATTTCAATCTTTGAAGGAACAAATGAGCCACCTCTGGTGTTTTTGTGTGGGGGAATGTTTCGAGTGATAATTTGGGTGGAGAGACACGCGAAAAACGACATTATAAGATACTACCTTAAAATGGCGACATATTGTTTAGTGTATACCGCACTACGTGAACCGACGATAGCATACGCCTAATTTGGCTCAAGGAATTGAGAAACAACGTTAAGAGCCCACTAGAAAAAAATGCTGTAAAATAATCATTCACGATAACGCAACATGGAAGTAAAATCAGGTTTACATTTCATAACGTGATAATTTTCACGGGAGCGATCTGCCGACCACCTGTTTGCTAGCTAAATATGTACGAACTTCTGGACGGCAATTAATTACTTTACCTTGTTCGTGATGACGCGAAGCTCTTTTTCCAAACTGCTTCGAGCAGCTTCGAGCAGCAAAACTTTAAAAAGAATCTGTAGTTTGTTGGCAGAGTGAGAATGAAGCTGCAGTAGCTGAAGCGTCATTGTTGATGAGGAGTTCATACTCTTGTGCTACGGCACGGGGCTACCAACGAGTTGGGTCGCCCAAAGGTAACAGTGAATAGACTAAATCATCCACTTACGTTGCCGCCCGTCATCAGCAACACAATAAAATTGTGATTCGTTTTAAGGAGGACATATTTTTGCCCTTCTTCACTCTCTTACTGAACGTTTGATGGATGTAAAAGGTTGTCTAAAACGACAATCAAGGAAGCAGTAACGGTCTGTCCAGCATGTGGCAGGCCACCAAACAAAAACGAATTTAAACTAGTGGAATAATGATTTTGTTTCCCTCTGCTGTTTGTGTTCAGAATTCTATTCAGTGTTTAGCTACGTTTAATCGGGCATGGATGCAGTGGCGGTTCTAGATCAGTTTCACTGAGGGGGCCGGGCTGGGGCCGGGGGTTTTGATGGAGGGGCACATTCAACCCAGGGCTAAAAAGACAGATTCGAAATATTATTTGACTTTTTATTTCATCAAACTTTCAAAGCATTGTAGTCATAACATTACAGTGATGAGAAAAAAACAGTATTAGGAGGGCTAAAATATCTGCAAGCGTAACAATACGCCGAGTCCATCTGTTGAGAATATTCAAGCCAGGGGTGGATATGGTACCAGCCTGCCTTGAAG